CGCCTCCCACCCTTGCGGTGCAGGCGGAGGGTAGTCCATCTCGAGATGACGACATGGGGGTGCCTGGGACGGCAACACCCCCACGCCGGGCCCTGAGTGTCCGATCACTCTGGGCCGCTACGGCTATCCCTTCCTCTGAACTACTCATCATCATAATAATTAGAGGAGTGATTTAATTTCGGAGTTTTCCTTCTCCTAGACCGGCTGCCTACACAGGGCTAACGAGCCCGGCCTGCCCGGGTGTGCTCTTGGTCTGGCCGCTCCCCGTGGACCTGTCCGGCAAGGGTGACCCTGCCAGGAACCGAAGTTCTCGCCGGCATAGCTCCACGGATCAGCACGGCACTCAAGCCCCTCCACCACGACAAGGTGGCACACCCTCGGAGAGGGAACGATTGTCATCCTCATAGTCTATCTGTTTTGATACATGTTTGTCTATAAATGAAGAATAAAATTGTTGAAAGTAAAATTGTAGGTTATATAATATAAATTTTCTGTTTTACATTACTGTATTAAAGATCTTTCAACTAACTTTTGAATGGCATTTTAAAGGCTGGATTTTTAAATAATTGCTTATTAAGATTTGTATTTTGTGGTACTTTTGGATAAGAAGGTACAGGAACAAGGTTTTCTTCTTCACTGAAACTTTTTTCGTTGCTTAAAACAGTTTTTGCTCTATATTTTCTACTTTTTTTTAAAGTATCATTATCTTCACTTTCAGAATTTACATCAGATATAAATTCCGCTTTCTTTAATTTCTTTATTCCTTTTTTATATGTATCTTAAAAAAAGAAAATAAGAGCAAATAGAAATTATTGTAATAAGAAATATTTAAAATTTTTAAAGTAAAAAAAAAAATGTTTAATTACAATTTTATGTTTACAAACATTTTTATTCTAAAGTGTAAGTATTACAAGTTATAAAAATATTTTTTTTTTTTTATTTTCTTTGAGTTATGTGATAAGTAAAAACACACACATATACTGTCACGAACCCAGTTTTTGATCAGTACCCAANTTTTGATCAGTTGTTAAAAAAGTATTATAGTAAGGTTTTGGTCATAAAAATTAGTCCAAAAAAATTTTTGGCATAATAATTAATTATTACGACATCTCTCACCTTCTTTCAGACTAATTTTTATGACTAAAAGTAACTTACTATTTCTTATAANTTACTATAACTTTTTTAACAAACTGATCAAAAATTGGATACTGATCAAAACCTAAGTCNGTGACGGTATGTATATATTACACTCAATACTATTTTAACATTAAAGAGTATTGACTGAACAATGAAATTAAAGTAAAAACAATTCTATTTTAATGTAATTATTTATCTTCCATTTCATATTACTTACTTGCAGTTGCTAGAATCCTCTTTATTTCATGCAGCGGCCAATCATCCATTTTTGAGATACATTTTTGCACAGCTTTTCTAAATTTGTCATTTGATGTGAAAGTAGGCCAGTACGCATATTTCTTATCTTCTGTCATCCAAGAAAAGGGTATCATTTGCAATCCATCAAAAAACTCTACTATAGCATATTACTCCATAGCTGCATTCTCATAAAAACCCAGGCAACCAGCTGACATTATAATGACGTTAATATAAAGTCAGTTTTTGACCAGTTTGACGTTAGTTTATGACGTGATATTAACGTAATGACGACGTGAGTTTGTCTCGTCAAAAATGACGACAGGTTAATGACGTTTACTTATGTCATTAATCTGACGTAACGTGATTAACGTGACATCCCACATAGCACGTAATATTACTGCAATATTGCTTTTCTATTGCAATATTACACTCTAATATAATAGAAATATTACCGTAATGTTAATGTAATATCGCAATATAATATTAAAATGTCCGCCAAAATGCATNAAAAAACAAAAATGCATACTTTTTATGCATTAAGTGATGCAGTTTTGTATTCTGTTTAAAAATGTATTAAAGGTCTTAGGTCAAAAACTGATTAGTTTAGAAGTTATGAATTTTGTTCCGAATTCCCATATATACGACACACTGTGCGTCGGTCTCTCTCACGAAAGGTAGCGCCGTTGGCGCCCCTTCTGGGGGAGAGAAAACGAAGAAGCCGGCGGGGGAGCGTTCTCGCTCCCCAACATACGCTGACTTGTCCGGGTCCCCACCATCCATCCCACCTCTATCTGGGGGCTCGGACATGGAGGTAGAGGAGGACGCCTCCACGCCGGCCCCCAGCACGAGTGGGGGCATGAGAAGACCGCCGACTGCCGCCGAGTTTCTCGGTATAGTCGCAGCCGAGAAGCGTGCCTCGGATGCGAGGCGGGCGGAGGCGGTCCTTGAGCTGGAGGACGAGTGCTGGCGCGACACCACCCGGCTGCCGTCCTCCAGACTCACGTGCCCGATTGCCTCCGCGGCTGAAATGGTGCAGAAGACGCACACAGCCGCGGAGGCCGTGATGAAGGTGGCCACCACTTCGAAGAATCTTGCCGGCCGGTACGTCAAGATCCTGAAGGAAGTAGCGGCCACTATAAAGGGACAGGGTGAGGGCATTGTTGCCCTCGCCTATGTGTCGATAAAGGTGGCAGAGTCGGGGCTGTCCGGGCCTGGGGCGCTCGTGGATGAGCGCGTCAGGACGCTGGAAGAAAAGCTCCGACTCAGCAAGGAGGCCGGGAGGATTATGTCCTCCCGGTATAAAAAAGTACGGGAGATGCTCGACGCGGCCTACAAGAAGGGTTTTTCCCTCGTAGGCGCGTCGAGGAAAGAGGTCGCGGATTGCGGGACGCAGGTCGGTGGACCTGCGCTTCCCTCGAAGGCGACCGCGGCGACGACCCCGCCGCCAAGAATGGACTCTCGGGGGGTCCAAACAGAGGGGGGGGGGCGAATGAGCCCCTCAGGGAAGATCCCCCTCTGGACCTCCCGGAGGATAGATGTGTCCGCCTTTTGGCGGACAAGATCGGGAACGCGATAGAGGGGCGAATCCTCTCTCTAATTAGGAGAGAGCTCGCCCCTCAGTCCTCAAGCGCGCCTGCAGCCGTACCCGCCCCGACCACCTGGGCGACGGTTGTGGGGCGCAAGGCGCGAAGGAGGGAGAAAGAGCCTCCCCCTCCTGAAAAAAAAAACGGCGCGCTCCCGCTGGCGCGAGTCAACGCACCGGGGCAGCGGAGAGGGCGAAACTCGGCAGGCTCCCCACTCGGGCTGCCGTCCTCCTTACCGCGGAGGAGGACGGCAGTTATGCCGAGGTAATGAAGAAGGAGGCGGCCGCCGTTAATTTGAAGGAGGTCGGAATCTCCGGCCTCTGGATAAAGAGGGCGGCCAATGGCGGCATGCTCCTCCAGGTACCCGGGCCTGGAGGAGCCGAGAAGGCCGACGCCCTCGTCGAGAGGGCGTCCAAAGCGCTGGAGGGAGTGGAGGGGGTGAAGTTCACCCGTCCCACAAAGCACGCGGAAATCCGAGTGCGGGACGTGGTGCCCCCCCTCTCTGCGGAGGACATTGCCACCGCATTAGCGGCGGCAGGTGGATGCCAGCCCAGTGAAGTTCGAACTGGGCTGGTTCGCTCCTCTCCCGTCGGGTACGGGATCTTATGGGTCCCCCCTTGAGGGCGGCCCGGCGGGTAGTAGGGGCAAAACGGGTAGAGGTGGGGTGGTTCAGCCTTCCCGTCGAGGCACTGGCGGCACGGCGTATGCAGTGCTACCGGTGTCTCGAGTACGGGCACGTAGCTCGCAAGTGCTCCGGTGTAGATCGGAGCACGGCGTGTTACAGATGCGGGGAGGGTGGCCACCTCGCCATCTCCTGTAGGGCTGTCCCCAAATGCACGTTGTGTGCGAGCCGGGGGCAGCCAGCAAACCACCGAATGGGCGGCGCAAGCTGCGCCCCTATGCCGGTGAAAAAAGTAGCCACCAAGCGGGGCGCCGGAGTTCCGGCGCCTACGCTGCCACCCGGTGGCAAGGAGGGCGAGGAGGTGGCGGTGCCTGACACCTCCCCGAAGAAGAGGAGGAAGCGGCGGGCCCGCAGTGCCGGGTCCGGCGGAGACTCCTCCGGCTGGGAGGAGGACGGAGAGAGGTTTACCTCCTCTCTCCGGTGGAAAGCCTGGCCCGGCTGTGGTCGGAGGAGAGCGAAGGGCGGAAGGACGTCCCTCCCGCGTCCGCCCCCTCTGAAGGCACAAAGCCCGCCGCGGGAAAAAGGGGGGAGGCCACTGAAGCCTCCGCCCCAAGCGAGGAACCTACCGGTCTCCGGGAACAGCCGAAGACCGAGGAAAAGGGGAGTGGGGACAGCGCGATGCCTCTCCCTCTCTCCAAAAGGAAAGCGTCCGGGACCAGAGACCGTAAGGTCGCTGGCCCCCGGACACAAACAGGTGCGGCGCCAAAAGCGCCGGGTTCAGGGGGAGGCTCCACTAAGGAGCCCTCCCCCAAGCGGCAGAAGGGAAACAAGTCAGCCTCCCCTTCACCGAGAAGAAAAAAGCCGGGACCTAAGTCCTCCAAGTCGATTAAACTCGACTTGGAGGCAGTATCCGTGCTCGGGGTGGGGGGGTCACGACTCGGGCGTGACCCCTGGACCCAGCCCCAGTTATGGGGCTGCTTGGTCGCGGGTAAGGGGTGCGTATAACATGTATCGACCCCTCCTGACTTTGGTCACGAAGGGCGGGGACTTGGTGTGGCAAGTTGGAGAACTTGCCACGCCATTGCACAAGTCCTCAGGGAAGGGCGGCTTAAGGAGGGCTATGGCCTCCTCCTCCTGCCGCAACCCCAAAGGCAACGGTGATGGGGGGCGTTGTCCTTTGGGGACAAGTCTTGGACTTGGGGGGGGCCTGGAGATGTAATAGCCTACTGGCTGCCACAGGCTCCTCCACTATGTCCGGTGGAGGCCATTGAGGGGTTTTAGTGGGTGCGACTCCCACACTCCCCGCCCAAACCCCCACAGGGCGGGGGTGCATAACGCATTTCCCCTCATATAAAAAAAAAAAAAGGATGACAATCGTTCAACAAAAATAAATTTCTTTAAGAAATCAAGTGAGACANTTTGTACTTCAAAAAATAAGAATACAGGTAATTTATACCAATATATTTAAATTTTACTAGATTAATGCCAATATATTCTGCAATTTATACCAAACTATTATGTATTTAAATTCTACTAAATTTAGAAAAATATATATGTAATATATAAGTTTTTGCATGTATTACGCAATAATATACGTATTACCATTATAATTATTTTCAACTTATAGACAAGAAAATACTCAGCAAACAATTTGGTTGCGAGATGTCGCAGTTTTGTCGCCAACCGCCGGCGAAATTAGTAGACCAAATCCATATCCATCTGTGTCCTCATTAGGATATGGTTTGGCGACCATATCTGTCAAACATGTGAGATGTCAAAATGAGACCAAAATCATAACAAGTCTGCCACTAGCAAGGCAAAGCCAAAGTGATGCACAAAATCCAGAACAGATTTGGTGATCGTTTGTTAGTGCCAAAATCGCGCCAAATACACATCATATCTGTTAGCAGCACTGTTAACAAAACAGTAGCAAGTACAGACCAAATTTGTCGTCAGAAACGTCAACAGATTGCTACCAAACGCAGATCAGATCTGTCTC